TTGCTTGTACAATACTTCTATTTTTTAATATTGAATTTTTGCAAAACCATAAATATCTATTGCCTTTTTTAAATATCATCCCTATTGTCTGTATCTTATTCGTTGAATAAATGCCTTCTTTAGGTTCAAAACGTTTGGCGATATTCAGTTTTGAAATTGGTCGGAATAAAGGAATATTTGTTTTGTTAATCGACTGATCGTCACCTTTCGTCGAATGTCCTTAGGCAGCTGTTATTACCGTGTTCCTATTAATACTATTATAGGCATGCACCGATGACGGTTTACCGCACAAAATACCCACCTAATAGATTTATCGGTCCATCCGGGTTATTTCGAATGAGTTTTTAATGTATGCCCGTTTACATAAATTATTATTGTTGACGGAATCGAGTTGTTTTCAATTATGAAGTAGGTTTATAATATTATGATAATTACTAAAAGTAACCCATTGATCTAGACGAAAAATGTTCACCGAGACCGGAAGGTCGTATACCCGTTTATTGATAAATGTGTAGTATTTTATTATTAAGTTGTTAATTAGATCTATTTAACCGCCGAATCGTCTCGACTCGATTTATAATTAATAACACTTATTGGATATCTGAGTGTACGTTACGTACGGCCCTGCGGCCTACATCGGCTATCGCGTTTTTTAATAATATATATTTATTTATACCTAATACTATGATTATTATGTACACTGCACGTATAACAATAACACACGTTATTATTATTACTGTTGAGGTTATTAATTAAGATTGTTTAAAGAGCATCATGCCGCATCGGTGATAAGTTCCTACTCTCATAGGTCAACCAACCATACCCACTTGTTATCGCCGAAGCAGCAAATGTAACTATAGTTTTGTTTGTAAACGGAGTCGTGTTTTATTTTTTTATGTTTACCCAGTTCGTTCATCTAAATTAAATAGTAGATTTAACATACATATAATATACCATTGATTTTATATTATACCGTTATATGTATAATAAGTATAATATAAAATCAATGTCTATACTTACACTGAAGTCTGAACGAAATTCTCCTCGGGGAATCCGTCCGATAAAACGTTTATTGATTCTGTAATTAAACTTTAATTGAAAAAAAAATCTCTTGTTGATATTACAGTACCCATAGCAGATGTAGTATGATAAATTATAAACGCTTGATTGCGGATCTATTTCGTTCAACATTTGTTTTGTTTACTATTAATAGATGTTTGTTGGTTAATTTAATAATATAAGGTATTTATAAAATAAATAAATATTTTGTTACTTTTACGGAATAATTGTTATAATGTTATAAACTGTGTACAAATCGCTCTTGGTTCAGTGTAGATAGGCCAAGTTAAAAATTCGGGGGGGGGGGGTGCCTATGATTTTGCGATTTTGGGATATTGTATATAATTGTTTTTAACTTGCAAAATGTTAGGCGGAGAGCTGCCCTTCCCTGTAGGCGTCCTTGCACGTTGTGTGTTTTATTTGACAACCCGATTTTGGAACTAACCGTATATATTACTATGTGTTTAGTCTACGATTAACATATTATTATGTGCTTTGGTTAACCGATAACGCATGTACACGAGAACTATTACCCGTGACGTACCGATATCGCCGCAATGTCGCCAAATATTGACATAGTATGGCTTAGTTTTTCTCTTTGCAAATAAGTTCAAAGAACACCGGTCGCACATACACAACACACTATCAGAGCTGTCGTGAAATAATATTATTGCCGGTTCTGTCGTTTATAATGGTATCCACCGTTAAAGTCTTCACGTCACTGTCCAGCTAACACCACAAAAAAGATTGAGAGCTCCACCAACGATTTTTTATACATATTTAACCCCTCCAAAACAGATCAACGAATCGATTCCCACAATAGTCTAGAATAGAGACCGAAAATTCAAATATTTTTACAGATAACTGAATTCAGACCAACCTAAGTAGGTGTAATTTTGTCAGGCTTTTAGGTTTAAAGCGTCCAAAAAACGACAGTTTTCAATGCCTTTAATTTGATATTTTCGACCATCTTCTGGCCTGCACGTTCAGATTATTTAAAAAAAATAAGTATTATTTAAAAATGAATGGTGTCTGGCGTTATCCGTGTGACGTATCACATCAAATGACTTAATATACTGCAACCCTGTTCTCAACGGTCATGGACCGGTTATTGTAAGTACAATCCGAACGGCGTTTGAACAACGAAACCGAAGGACAACCCGTTGTCGACATTGAAACACGACTATATTTTGATGAGTCAGTTTCAGCAACATGTGTTTATTGCAAACCTAGTGCAAGCCTCGGGGCGATGAGACGCTCGTAAAAGGTACACTTCTGTTAGTGCAATGGACCTCTAACCAATGGTTTTATATTAAAGGAGGAAAAACCGACATAACCAGTTGTCGTCAGACAAATTGGCATTATAAATTAGGTAGGTACGTAGATGATCAAAAAGCGCAGCAATGGAGGGGAAACTAGAAATTGTACATTTAAAAAAAAAAAAATTCGTTTAGAAATAACAAACGTGGTCAACGCTTAATGGACAATTAAGCTGATTGCTTGGCAAATGTGGGAGAGTGTGATGTCCATCTCAATAAATTTCAAGTTGAGCTGCTTTTTACATTATGCCTTAATTAATTATACTTGTTTTGAATTTTTTTTTATATTTTATTGTATGCTAATATAGTTATTTAATTGAGACATCTTGACGTTTTACTTAGTGTTTCACGTTCGAATTTTCGTACAGCTTTACTACTTTATGCACATTAAGTCAAACGCGAAATCACCGCGGTGCACCGGAATAACGCCTAGACGTCCCGTTAATTTTAGCATAATATTAGCATACAATAGAATGTGGAGGAAAAAACGGAGAACAAGACTTGTCATATAGTTCGATTGTGGAAAAACCGATTCAACTGGAATTCTTTGAGACGTATACAAAAACACACACACACACACATTTGCGAAGCAACCGCAGCTTACCGGCCAACGTTTTTTTATTTCTTTAGATTTATAGTAATATTATAATCTATATATATTTTATTGTCAATTACCCACACACTTCTACTAGTCGCCCCCGTTAAACGTCCCGTTTTTATACGTGCGGAAAAATAATTAATAATAAAAAAGTATTATAAATTATTACACTATTGTAATATAGATTAGCACAGATCATATTTCACAAAAATGTACGTATATATATATACATATTTTTATATTTTGAAATTATAATAATATTATTATTTTTTGCACGCGTTCATATCCTTATAACATTGTAGACGACCTCGACACCCGTGCTGACCGTTGTCCTACAGTGGGATTCATGTACATTAGAATTGTCGCTGTTATGGCCACAGTCCAAACATCTGTCCCGTGTAATTGCTTTCCTGAACAAAGCCTGTAAGTGCGCTAACGTCGCCGCTAAATAAACATGATAAAAAATAGTTAACATTGTGGCCGTTTGTATTCTGATAAATTCCAAAAGCGTGAATATATTTTTATTAGATGCATTTTAAGACTAAACCCGATCCGTAATATGTTTTGATTTTTGTAGACGCTAAAGTACGCAGTATTCACATATTGCATTAGTTGTTTCACAATCAACGATCGTCGTGTTTGCATTTTTTTTTATTGAGGAAATCTGGTGAAAAAAATCAGACAAATTATCCATTATGGCCTATTGGCCCTTTAGTCGTTTTTATTATTTTTTTGACACAAACCGATCACTTTTTTATGAGGTATGCGTGAAAGCAATTAGTGATCAATTACATGCAAATTTCAATTGTACAACCGATTTGTGGCCGCATACTTTGTAGGTAATGTTTGTTTGTAGGTAACATGTGCAATGATGTATTAAAATTAGCAATTTTAGTTTAGTGGTTTTTCGAGTTTTAAAATTTGTCGATATTCGATAATTAATAGTGCACGTAGCACGTTATTATTTAAGCTACGATAGTTGTCTAGAGTATCTTTTTGTTTTAGACATCTGAAACGATGATCATTATTTTAGTTATGTAACGAGATAGTTAAAAAATACATAGTAATGTTTTTTAATAATTTTTCAGCTACATGATGTGTATTTTTTTTTGTACCAAGAAGTATTAAAAAAAAAAAAAAAACATTTAAACTTTAACGCAGGAAAAAATTCAAACAAATATTCGAGAACCAATTATAATTTCCAAAACTAAATAACGAATGCTCTAAGATTTTTTTTATTCAAAATACAATATGTATAGATTAGATTATACACATAAAAAAAAACTTGAATAACTTGTGGAGAGACCGCCCAGTGGCGGAACTCCTACTGATTTTAGTAACTTAACAGTTATAAATATATTACATTTTTGAGTAAAATTAGTATTACATACCAAAAATTACCATTTTTTTTCTCATTATTATTGAAAAAGGTATCTACTCTAAGTAATTAAAAAATTATTGTTCGAGACGGCGCAGTTTTCAATGGGATTAAAACACAGTGATATGCCACCTTTTGCGGTAAAAACAATTTTATTGTAAAAATAAAAAAAACGTTATTTTTTTAATCCGAGGGACGTTGAAGTCATTGCGTTATTTTCGAAATGTTTTAACAACATTATACTTTTTTTAACGATAAAACTTTTTTGGTGTTGTATATAAGTTACCGGACTCTTTTCTTAACTTACCACGACTTGTCATTATTGTCTAATGACATTTAATGCGAATAATGCGTACTGCAACTACTATAAGTTCTAAGCGTATCGTCTAATACGAATATAATTATAGTTTTAAACCAATTTTTGAGCATGATTATTCTTTTGCTTGCAATGAGCTTCTATTTCTCCGAAAAGAGTAAGTTTTAATCACCCTATTTGTGTTTAAACATTTTTCTCCCATGATCTTTGTCGCCATAGCTAAATTGTCTAATGCTCGACCAAATACTTAAGTCTATTATGCATTTCCCTATACTTAAAATAATATTGTGTCTACTAAATTATATAATATGTGAATTTTTTTTTTTACAGGTTTGATATCGTTGATGTTAATTGGCGTTTCCGCACTTGTTTTGGGTACACTCATCGCTGTCTTTGACCCGTATCATTTAATCCTAAAATGGGTAAGTCGTCACGTCATCATTTTAAAAAGATCTAATTTTATAAAAAGGTAATCAAATTAGTTCAATCCAATCAGAACTTTAACACGAGTACAATGATGTCATTTTCTTAAGTAACGTAAGGTCGATGGTAATACTAATGAAGCCCGTGCACTTTTAATAATGTAGTGGATACCTACTCTGTTGATCGTAGCCTGACAACTGCTTATTTTGAGTTATATTTTAATTTACCGTGGATGTTTTGAAATAATAAGGACTAATTAACTCTAATACAACCTTACAAAACAAATTTTGACTAAAAATACATATTTTTTTTTGCTTGAATTAATAGAAATCTATAAAATAATTACCATTTAAACAAAATATACAGTCTGCTCTCTTAACTATAAAATACAAAACGTCTTCAGTTTAATACGTTGGCGAAAAACTATTCAATTGGTTTACAAAATGATAGTAATTATATATATATATATATATTTTTTATTATATGCACTATAATGCACATTCATGAATTCGGGGGGTTTCATTTTTATATTTTTCCTCATTATTGTGCCTCATCCTGCTTATGTTAGTAATAACTAATATAGTTTATTATTTACAGTTAGTTTAAAAAATTCTGATAAATATTAATTAAAGAGACACAAAAGAAAAAATTAATATACCAAAATACTTTGCTCAAAAACTTCAGAGCGTATATAATTATGTGATAAGCACGCTCGAAATAATAAGTGATTATTTTTCTATAAAAGCTATATATTACGTATATTACGTATATATATATACGTTTTAGCTTGCTTATTTAAAATTTAGACTATATTTTAAGTAATTTAATATCAAAAATATTATTTATTAATTACCAAATAATTAATTAATCATTTAAGAGTAAATTTTACGACTCTGTTAAAAATTGCCAACATACCTAAAAGTTATAGCCCAAGCATTAATTTAATTAGTTAGATTTCGATATAAATGGCATAGGGTTTAAAAACAAAAATCTTCTGAAAAAAATATATTTTGTATAAATTATTTTTTTTATGGATAATAAAAGTTTAGTTAATGTTTATGTGAAACTACAAGCCAATTGTTACGGACATTTGTTAGTTAAAGCCTAAATAATTGATTTTCTAAACATTTTCGACAAATATATACTTTTTCCGTATGTCTTTCCTTATTTTTGTGTACATAACAGGACTATTTTCTTTTATTTATTATTTTCCGGTACAAGATATTTTATTTACATAGTATTTAGTAATACTATTATGCATAAATAAATCCGTACATTCTCTTTCTACTCTCTAGTCTCTCATCATACTTTAATGAAAAACTTGAGCCCCGTTTTTTATCATCTTATTGTGTTCTAATTGTTTTACGAGCGACTTCTATAATTGACTTAAAATTTTACAACAGTTTCCATAGTTTATACTGCTGTTTGCTCACTATAATAATAAAATTCTGTAATAAAAATACGATGTACCGATATTACAATGTATGCTATGAATCTAAACAATCTATTAAGTCGTTTAAAGTTTTTATTAATTATTGTTTTTTTATTATTTCAATTAAATAAAAAAAACTCGTTATTTTTCATGTAGGTATAATAATAATTTAATTAATTACAGGACAATTAATTAATGCCTTACACGTGTAATTTGTAATTATCTAGTATACCGTAAGTAGGGGATAATATTATAACTAGTCGAACTGCCTTAGGTCATACTGAGCGTCATAGCCCACATGCTTTATATAATTGTATGTTATATTTAAAACCACATAATATACTGGATGTGAATATACTGTTCAGATACAATTGATAGTCGGTACATTTCGAACACCTGATTATAATGTAAAGCTTATTAATGCCGCCAAAATGTGTGCATCGACCTGTTCAACTCGGTACTTAGTATCAATTTAGACGGTTTTTATTTTTACTTGTATACCCTCAATTAGTTGTTAATTTCAATAATTTAGTTTTTTTTATAGTATCCGAGTATCTATCGTTTGTAACCATAATTCAAAACTCTTCAGACGTTAACCCATCATTTTATACTAGTCATACATAATAAATCCATGATAAAAATATAGTATAGCATCACAGCTATTATAAACGTAATAATAGGGTGCCCGAGATTACCGGGTGTTGGAATGATATTTTAATAATGCTTTTTATGCATCTTACTTCAGAAATTTTGATGTGTACCTCTAGCATTAGCATGACGTCAAACAGCCGAGCCAAGTTTCCAACGTTGTAACATGCCTACGCAGAATGCGTTTACTAGCTCTATAATGGTTATAGAGCTAAAATATCTATACAAAAAACAAAAGATAAAAAGATTTTGGAGAAAATGTCATTTCTTTTTTTTTTTTTGATAAATCTAATATCTAGCTTAATATTTAACATTTAAAATCAAATTTTTATACTTTTTTTAAATAGCTATAACTTTTTTCACGTTTTAATTTTCAAAAAACCGGATATAAAATTGTCTCTAAAATATTGTCATCTTTTGATTTCATAATATGTGTTCTTGCTCTAGAACAGCGCCATGGTCTTGGCAGAACGCATTTTGCGTAACTATGTTTAGATGAATAAAATAATTAAAATCACTGACAAAGATGCTGCGATAGTCTGAAAAATAAATTAACTGTCTAAAAATAGTTCTAACCACTAAACTAATAATTACACATTACAATTTAAGCTTTAAATTAAGATTAAAAAAAAAAAATTACCTATACCTACCTCCTTAATAAATATAGGATATCACGTCCATTATATTCATCTCGGTGCTTTGGTCTTGATCTTGGCAATGAATGCTTCTGACCGACACGGTGTGGCGTCTACGTGATTAGCTTGCATTAACCATTAATGTATTATGACTGGTAGGTATATTATTCTAAAACGACCACGATGCATATATTATACACTTCAATAGCTCTGTCGTAAAAGGCTTTTGGCTATCTAGCATTGAAGTTGACAATTGTTTCCAAAAGCCCATTTTCCAAAAAAAACCTTTGCCGTTATTCCGCATAACCTATATAACTTATATTATACTTGATTTGGGTGAAATATTAGTACTCTCGTTTATTTTTTGCTTAAAAATCGATACCGGGTCATTTTAAAGAGCCTCGCGACTGTGATGAAATTAGACGTAAAAGACCATCGGCATATCCATCTTGTGTTCCCATGAAGTCCATTTTGATTTTGAAAAAAAGTTTTTCTCATCATCTCTTCTGTGGTCCATAGTTTAGGATTTAAGCTGGATTTTTCAATATTTTAGAATAGTTTAAAAAAAAAAAAGTTTACAAAAACTATTTTATAATAAAAACAAGTAATAAGAAAAAGTAGTCGATACTACAAACCACAGAAGAGATGATGAGGAATACAAAACTTTTTCCGGAAATCGGACTTCGCGGGAACACAGGATGATGGAAATGCCAAGGGTTTATTTTGTTCAAATTAGAGCTTTTATGGGTTATAGAAATTGAAAAATAATAGAAGAAAACAAATTAAGTATCAACACAGACCCCTCTGTCCTGTGTTAATCGTTATATATATATATATATATATATATATAATATGTTAAGACATTTTAGCATAAATGTTAAGTTTTATGAAAGTTGCCTATACAATGCTCTTTAAGATATCACAGTCACAAGGCGCATTAAACTCGGGATTAGTATTTATTCGATTTGAAAGAAGATTCTCTTATTTCCGATTTCGTGGGTTTAAAAATATACTCTGCTCAGAGGCCTCAATATATTATAATTGCGGTTTTTCCTGCTATGAAGACCGAGTTCACAAAAGGAAAAGTGGTATAGACCACACACACGTGTAAATTATCTGACAACAACAAAAACAACAACAACAGCAAATATAATTTATCTAATAGGTATATTTTGAGGTAATCACGAGTGTCCAGTATCCGGTCGTGGTCAACGGCATCCACTGGCCTTGATTTGACCAAGTCAGTGTTTGCGGAAGTTATGCATAATAACAAAACAATTTTGATTATAAAATGTTGTTTTTATTCTTTTCGGGCCATGTTTGTACCATTATCCGATATAAAATTAACTGTCTGACTCATTAACGTTTATATGGGGCGTCTAGTTTCATAACCAACCAAAAGCAATTTTTGAAAGATTTCACAACCAACAAATAATTTCTTCAAATGGAAGATTTTGAAACCAACCAATAATTTCTCAACACAGTTCGAGTTAGTTCTAATCTTTGTTTGATCTTTAATAATAGTTTTACATAGCACGTAATTCTTAAAACACGTTTTCAAAATGTCTATTTAAAACTAGAAGTCTCATATACAAGGTAATCAATTTAACGCAAGACACTTATTTTCTGTGAACATTATTATTTTGTAGTTTTCATTTTGAATACATTCAATTTATGTGATTATAAAGTAAGTATTATAAAATTACAAAATGTTTACTTCTTTTAGTATTTTCTTGAGCGCTATCAACTTTTGAAACATAAATACAAATTTAAATATTTAACTCGTTTTTCAAAATAAAAATAATTTGCCAAACATTTTGACTTGTCGATAACTATTTTTAAAAATATTAGAGTTTAAAATTTTAGGCGGAAGGACCGAAAAAGGCTGAAGTGTAGTATTCTTTTTATCTGCGTATTATGTATATGTATGTATTACTTATCCGTGACCCATTTCCCGTTCTACATTTACCGTAAAATTCTAATAATGTTATTTATGTAGTTTTTCTAAACTGGTTATCGACTAATCAAAATGTTCAGCAAATTATTTTTAACTCAAAAAATGTATTAAAATATATACATTACCGTTTTATTTTCAAAAGTTGATAGCGCCATGGAAAGTACTAAAAAAGGTATTTATTTGATAGTTTTATAGCATTGTACAAAACAAAAAAATTAATTACTTTCTGAGCAAATGAGTATCTTACGTTAAATGGATCATAGTATAATGATTACTAATGTTGTCTGAATAAATGCGGATTAATAAGGTGAATGGAAACACAAAACGTAGTCTCAATTATTAATTCTTTTTGAGGTCAATACATATATATATATATATGTTGGGCACTCACTTGGAATTCCCCCAAACTACGTCACTAAACGCTATGCATAATATTATACTTACTACTTTCCGTAATTACATGTTCCGCACAGTTTTTTCGAGATTTTAGTTCCCATAATAGTTTTTTGTGGTTATTATTTTTCAGAAACTAGTTATGGCAGAAGGTGATGAAGCTTTCAAGATGTGGAAGACTCCCGACGTACAAATTCATCTTAAAGTGTACATATTTAACATAACAAACCGAGAAGAATTTTTAGCAGGCAAAGAAAAACTTAGATTTCAAGAAGTCGGTCCATACGTTTATCGGTAAGTGTGTTGTGCGATTTTCATTTTATTTGTATAATTAATACATTATGGATATCACAAATTGGTAAAAATATATGAGTATTCAGATAAAAAAAAAAAATTGTAGAAATCCAGGCACGATTAAAAATGGTTTTTTTTTTCCGAAACCAATACTTTTTCATCGTTGCATTGAAGTGAATAAGACCCAAATCGCAATGAAACAGAAACAGCTATTTTGAAAACAATTTTATTAATAACCAACTATACATTTTTAATTTTTTATTGTTCTTATTTGTTTTATTTTTAACGGCATACAAGTAAAAAGGCAATAAATCAAATATATTATTTAGTATTCAAAACACGTATTGATATATTTTCTGAGAAAATTTAAGATATTAACATAATATTTCTGTAGTACTTGTGAATTATGTTAAATCTTTGTACGTTTAATTATTTTTCTTTTTATCAGTATGAAAACTATCTTAGCAAAATATATTAGATATAGCTACTAAAGATGAGCTACAAAAACATAATATCAATTCGCTATATTCTATTTTAATATAGCATAACAGTAAAACTAACTTTTTACGGTACAGATGAAATATTATTGGTGTAACCCGACACCGTAAAATATTATCTGAAAGTTAACCAATAGTATACCTAATACCTGTTATAACTTTGATTTTGTATAAGTTTATATATTTGTTAGTTACATATTGTATTAGCTAGTTTATATACTCGAATATGGCACATTGTGCCTATATATGCGCATCCTATCAATTAAAATAATAAAGGGCAAAGATCACACTTCTGTTTAGGTACGTTTCACTCATAAAAACCCGATGTAAACATTATTCTAAAACAGTCAATAAAATATGTATCAATGTGACCCTAGCTAACAGCTATGCCCAATCATAAAAGCTCATTAATTCACTATAAACACCACGAGTCAAATCACGTAGGCTATTTCGTGTAATACTGTAAAAACACCATGTTCAATATTTAATACTATTACATTGATTGAGTAGTATCCGGCACTAATAATTTGTATAGACTAATTTTCTATAAGGCAATAGTCGGACACTGCATTCTAGCATGGTTGTCCGCTAAGCTATTTTCTTATTTGAGAAGAGACGATGAGACATACATTTTTTACAATCTGTATAAACCATAAGATGTTTATACCGGGAGACGATTTAAAAAATCTAGATTATCATAAAGCACAACATGTTCAAAGTGCAACCGGAGGTCTATTTTGAACGCAGTGCGAACGTTTCCGTACATACAAAACTTGTATAAATGTAATGCGGTTCATACGGTGTTCAAAATAGACCTCAAGTTGGTGATTTCTTATACTATTATTGAAATTCAGCAGTGATTTGGGCGTACAGCTTAATTTTTTTTCCATTCGAACCCTTTTCCATCTCCCTTGAAAATATTTCTTGTCACCCTATGTGTATAAGGATTTGTTTTCTTAAGATTAAATTTTCATTGTATAATTTTGAAATTGTTTACGGTAGCTATTTGTGGTTATGGAAATTGCCTGTTAACTAAATGTGTGTGTCCGGTGTCAGTGTAACCTATCCGGTGCCTTAGATATTTAAACGTTTCCATATGAAGTCGCTTTTTGTCGAGATAGAATACAATATTGAATTATCCACACGTTGTACTTATATAGAGCAATTATATAATAATATATCAAAATGCCTAGGTAACTAGGTTATAGGCAAAACCCGGATACCTGGTGTCCCATCTTCGTAGACCTTGTACCCTTTATCCGAACGTGTGCAATATGCTCATACACGTGAATATTTTAAGTAGATAATGACGTATATAAAGCGGGTACTAACAGTTAAGCGCATAATTTATAAAATAAAATCGATACATAGTCAATAGTGCATATATTATATAAACAAGCTAAACTGGTGTATACATCTTAACTCTTGTCATAGCTATTAAAATACAGCAAGGCCGTGTTGCACGGAATCAATTAAAATTTGTAAATAGCATTTAAATTCTAATTCAACCCATTCATGCATTATATACGCAGTCCGTTTTTACTAATTATGTACTATAAATTTGACGCCATCGTCGTTCAGTCCGTCAACAATAATAACGTTATTATTATTATACTACTTAATCGTTAGTTTACCATTGGCATCAAGGCAAAACCAAAATATTAACTCATAATTGAGTTCATCATTTAATAGCATTAAAATACAAAAAAAAAAATGTTTTTTTTGTCCTTAATTGTAAATTAGTTAACACATTCAAATAATGTAAATGTAAAATATGTACTACCGTGCAAAAATTGTTTTAAAAAAATTAGTTGATTCTATTATTAATTGTATGCATACGTTGTTACTGATAAGTATACTGTGTAGTAAGGTAGCCCGTGTTACGCACAGTTCGCCTCATATATATATAGTTGATTCTATAGTACTGTTATGAAGAGGTTGAAATTATTTTTGAAAACTCAAGTAAAACACACACACACTGGTGAAGAAAAAATCAATGGGTTTTAAACGCGTTGGTAAGCTAATAATGATCACTTTGTTCGAAACCTAAATTAAATGATCATATTATAATATGCAACAACTAAAAGTAACATTGTGAGATATATTACCGTATGCTTTAATAGTCACGTTTTTCCTTATATGTTTTTTTTTAATTCAGTGTAACCTTTTTGATCACCTGACCTATATATTTAATGAAATTGAAGATTACCACTATAACAAAATCATAATCGGTGCGCAACATATTATTATAATGTTCGTTTGGCTTTAAAGTAAATAATACATCGTTTAACTCTTTCAGTAGCGTTATCATACGATTTGCGAGAATCGCAATTACTTCACTTGTGTGAGGTTATACTTGGGTGTTATACCTAAACGTTGTTAATGGGAATAGGATATCGTTATTTGTTCGATGATATCAAAGTTCAAACTTGTGTCGGATTCCGTTAATGTTTAAGGTTTACCTAACAAAGAATAATTAATGATCAATTATTATAAACCGTAGTTAACGTGTTCTTTTTGACATATTCAAAGTTATATAATTAGGTCACTAAAAAAACTATTATTTATCATACAGAAGCTTGCGTAAAACATACAACCGATCTTCAATAGGTGTTTTTTTGTGCAGACAGGACACTTTTTTATACTTTCTTATTGGATACCTTATTTAACAAATAAGTAAGGTTTAAAGTATTTAATGTAAAAAAATCAGTTTAAAGATCCAATATTAAAACATTCTATACTATGTACGACCTGTATTTAGTTCTGATAAGTATTTTTATATTCCAGAGAAAATATGGATCATAAAAATCTAACGTTTAATGACAACAACACAATGACGACATCGCCTGTACACCCCCTGACGTGGGTTCCAGAGCTAAACAAGGGCAGAGAAGATGATGTTTTGATTTTACCAAACATAGCACTATTGGTAAGTTTTCAAATCTTCAACAAAGGAAATAATTGAAATTAAAATGGAAAAAAATGTACCTACATTGCAATATATGTTTAATATTTTATTATATTCAAGTTAAACGAATGTAGTTCGAATACAAGTTTAACTTAAATGACTTTAGTGTAAAATGTAGGATTATAGGAAATATGATGAAAAAAAGTGTTATGGAAATACTTGGTCATCCAGTTTAGGTAAAATATCTAGGGGTAGTTATTATAATAATAATAACTACGAGACTAACACTATGTTTTTCTTTTTTACAATAATTTGTTTATATTTAGAGGCGGATAGGCTAAAATTTTGTTACCTGCAAAATATATTTAAAAAAACTAAGCTTCTTACAAATACACACGACCGCCTCAGTCAGGCTTTCTTCTGCACATCCTCTTTTAGACCTAACCGAAAATTGATTTATTTTTATCATGCACATCTAATACATTTACACATTTAAATTTATATTTGAATCATTTTAGTTAATTTTTTTTATCGAACCTTAAAAAATGTAATAAATAAATAAATTCGTGTGGCATTATTGACCAGGATTATAGCTAACTTGGTCCTCACCGGTCGGCCTAATGGTGTGGTTTGCCGCTAAGAACCCGGGTGGTCACCCATCCGGGATCAAGCGGTACCAGTCGCAGCTTAACCTCAGGCGCCTTGCGGCAGCTGCGGTGTCCACTGCGCCACACCGTACCAGTAAAAAAAAAAAAAAAAAAATGTTATCAGTATCATAATAAGTATGAAAAATATAAGTCCTGTTTTTGTAAATATAAACATACATTCTCATGAATAATATGTTAAATAATAATAATTCATATATTACTATAGCTACTGTAACGTCAGTATTACTATAGCTATAGTCTTACATACCGGATTTGCCAACTATCCGCCTATGTCAAAATTGACATTAGTAATTAGTTAATTAAACGAAAAAACACTAAACTGGTAATAGGAATTATATAACTATTGGAATTAGCGTGGCTTATGGTTTGGCCTTCGTTGAAACGGGTTTTACTGTATAGATTTTTAACATTCAGCTAAACGACTCGCCATAGTCTGCACTTTTTTAGTATAATTTGTGTATGTTCTATTGCAGAGTTTTGCCAGTGTCATGGCGGAGAGTTCAATGATCACAAGAATGGGCGTTAATCTACTAATCCACCAGACCAAGTCTGAGCCGTTTATCAGACAAACAGCCAGGGAGTTCATGTTTGGTTACGAAAGCGCTTTGGTGACCATCGGCAACAAATTTTTACCGTCGTGGATCGTTTTCGACAAACTGGGTCTCATCGACAGGGTGAGCATCACTAACGAAATAATAACCAAAATATAATCACAGTGACCCACACATTTAATGTAAAAAGTTAGGTCGGCAATCGTGATAGTATTAATTGTATACACACATAGTTTTATATAGTATTATGTAAAAAAAAATTCAAACAAAACGTAGAGAGAACAGTTGCTATCCTTACATATTTATATATATAGAGTCATGCTGATGTGCCATTGAATAAAAAACCACATGCTTTAACATAAATTAATATAAAAAAATTTAAACCCGTGAGTACAGATGTGACTTGGAAATAGCCGTCTGCAGTAATGGTTTTCACGTACAAGCTCGTCTGGGGCGTATAAAACAAATGTTGAGTTATCCGTATTAATTATATACAGGATGATTCTTTTATCACAGGACACTCAATATTTCACTGGGTTTAACTAATAATTTATTTTTTCACAGTGTTTTTGTATAATGTGATATTAATTTTCCACAAATTATTATGTTTCTACCCAGCTCCCAAACTAGTATTTTTGATAGCAACTTTTGAAACTTAAATGGTAACGTATATATTTTTTAAACTTTTTAAATTAAGAATATTAAACTGAAAATGTTGACTGGTCGATAACCAGTTTTGGATAACTATTTTTGAAGTTATAAGAGTTTAAAAGTTAGAACGGGAGGGGAATTGAGCGCAGATAAAAATAATACTACACTGCACATTTCCTCCTGCCCTAAACTTGAAACTTCAATAACTTCAAAAATAGTTATCCAAAACTGGTTATCGACCAGTCAACATTTTTAGTAGAATATTCTTAATTTAAAAAGTTTAAAAAAATACACGAGGTAATCAATTTAACGCAAGACACTTATTTTCTGTGAACATAATTATTTTGTAGTTTTCATTTTGAATACATTCAATTTGTGTGATTGTATAGTAGGTATTATAAAATTACAAAATGTTTACTTCTTTTAGTATTTTCTTAGGCGCTATCAACTTTTGAAACATAAATACAAAATTAAATATTTAACTCGTTTTTTTAAAATAAAAATAATTTGCCAAACATTTTGACTTGTCGATAACTACTTTTAAAAATATTAGAGTTCAAAATTTTAGGCGGAATGACCGAGAAAGTCTGAAGTGTAGTATTCTTTTTATCTGCGTATTATGTATATATATATGTATTACTTATCCGTGACCCATTTCCCGTTCTACATTTACCGTAAAATTCTAATAAAACATTATTATGTAGTTTTTCTAAACTGGTTATCGACTAGTCAAAATGTTCAGCAAATTATTTTTAACTCAAAAAATGTATTAAAATATATACATTACCGTTTTATTTTCAAAAGTTGATAGCGCCATGGAAAGTACTAAAAAAGGTATTTATTTGATAGTTTTATAGCATTGTACAAAACAAAAAAATGAATTTCTTTCTGAGCAAATGAGTATCTTACGTTAAATGGATCATAGTATAATGATTACTAATGTTGTCTGAATAAATGTGGATTAATAAGGTGAATGGAAACACAAAACGTAGTCTCAATTATTAATTTTTTTTTTGAGGTCAATATATATATATGTTGGGCACTCACTTGGATTTCCCCTAAACTACGTCACTAAACGCTATGCATAATATTATATTTACTACTTTCCGTAATTACAAAAAATATATACGTTGCTATAAAAAAAAACTAGTTTGGGAGGTGGGTAGAAACATAATAATTTGTGGTAAATTGAGATCACATTATATAAAAATACTATGGAAAAAAAATGAATTAAACCCATTGCGTTATTGAGTGGCAATGATAAAAGAATCATTCTGTATTACCATTAAACCGGTTTTAACGCAATAGAACTGTCATTATTCCATCGAAATCAATCACGAAGTGTTCCTTCTAATGAGACTTAATGTCTCGGTTAGTAATTTAATTTTAATTTTTTTTAATAATTAATATAGTATTTGTTTCTCGTCAAATATTCGAATCGTACAACACCGGGCAGATGCGCAGTCTGTGCGGAATTATGTACTTGTCAAACTCCTTAAGGCGAACAAAAAAATACGTAAGCAAAATAATGTAACATATTGCAAATCGTACAATTCTCCAGTTTTATGGTGTTTTAGAGGAGATAATCTGTCACGGTATGTTTTAATTTATCGTTATTGATATCAACACGGTGGTTATTTTTATGTATATATGACGTATACGATTTTATAGTATTCTTACAAACGAATTAATGACCCGTCGTAAAACGTCTGCACGCAGGTCCGCGTCAAGTTCAAGGGCTCAAGAACAAGATAGTTATAATCCGTGTGAACGTCGTTTGTTTCGTGCTCTGTTTTTACGGAAAATACGTTTTGTAGTTGTTTTGTTTGCTGGCAAGCTGAAGGCTCTTTTCTAGCCTAGTTAGGTATATATATATTTTGTTATGCTTCCCGCGTAATCGAAATTCGACCGCAAGTAGTACAAAACAGTCGTTATTCGTATACCGCAGACGTTGTTTTCCCACGGCTATGTCTATTATAAAGTACCGATTTACAGCAGGAAAGCACAAATTATTATATATCCTTTATTACACGCTGTTCCAAACACCTATACGCGTTGCATCATACCATATAATTAAAATCTCGATAACGATATTAACAACAACGCCATAATGTTGATTCAGACCTGTACTTGAAAATCCATTCCGGTGTACAGTTATGAAACTCGTTAAATACCTAAGTCGTTCGCAATGCCACTTCGATTACAATACCGACATCGTGGGCGTTTTTGGCAATATCTCAAAAGAGTTTGGCACTCTGAGAACAGTGACAACAGTACATTTTGGTTGCCAAAAACATGACCATCTCTGTTGGTATTACGCTTGTTTGGGATTAAGTCACGTTCCTATGCTAGGTGCGCAGATAATCCCCTTGGCTGATTCAATAGCTGTTGGTCCTACAAACTGTAGTAACTCAATGGAATTTTGCATCCCACACAATAAGCAGTGTCCCGGGTAGATATTAATGCATCATGTTACACAATATATTCGATTAAAATTAATATAAAACGTTCTGTTTAGCATAAATAATAGCACATTTTAAACTTAAGTTAAATCCAATTTCCTGTGTGTCTTCAAGGGTCTAGCCTTCTGGATATTCCCTAAACGAGTATCCGACTGATATTCAGATAACTTCACGCTAATTGCCTTATTGTAGGCAGAGTTAGGCATTTTTTATTCGAATAACAAATAATAAATGAATTCTCAACGCTTCTCTGGCGAGACGACATTCCGTTACCATATGTTACATAATATGACGTACAGTCTACGCAACTACTGTGACAATGTCTAGGTTAACAGCTTGTATGTTTTTAATAACAATATGTTAATGTCCAATGATGATGTTTTTATATAGATGTACGATTTCACTGGAGATACGTCAACGGTATACACTGGCCGGGATGACGTTCGCAAGTCTGGTATTATTGAGAACTACAACAGGAACCCGTATTTGCCTCAATGGGCGCCGCCTTGTAACGTGGTAACTGGCGCTTCGGACGGTACCAAGTTCCCGTCAATGATGAAACCCAACGACACTCCTCTCTTTTTCAGGAAGTCTTTGTGTAGAGCTATGCCGATGGTAAGTTTATAAGCAACTATAAGGTCTGAGGATACAATAGTCGTGATTGTAGCAGATGTGGGCAAACTGCAAAAAAAAAAATCATGTGTTAATTTATTTCTACATTTTTGCAAAAGACACGTCTGTATACAGCACGATGACGACCTTAAATAACGAACATTTGAAATTAAGATACTATACTACCGTGCTAAGAAGAAATGTCCCAACATATACAGATAACATATTATGCACATAGGACGTTTATAATAAGCGCGGCAGTATAGGTCTCGCGATTATAATATTATAGATATCTATAGTGTTCATTGTTTTCCAGGTAAGAACCACCAATCTGACAATACAAGACGGTCTACCGGTGTACAAATACGTATTCAAAAACGGTACCTTGGACAATGGGGCTGATAACCCGGACAACAAATGCTTTTGCCGTAAAAATAAATGTTTGAAGCCAGGACTTATCGACGTCACTGATTGCTATTACGGTAAAGGACATACTAAATAAGATCCGAGTTACACATTCATATAGATAATTGTGTATATGCACGCATGTAAAGAAACAACGACTAAAAGAATGGTTTGGCTTTATTTTCGTAGGTTTTCCCATTGCTCTCTCATACCCTCATTTCTACAAATCCGACAATTCACTGCTGGAAGCCGTGGACGGCTTAAATCCCGACCAGAAAAAACACGAAACATACTTTCTTATAAATCCCGTAAGTAATGTCATGAATTATTATTATATACGTTCGATTTCCTCGCATTAGTTATGATTACTATTTAAATTTAAAAACAATTTTTTAGGAAACTGGTTTACCCGTACAACTGTACGTTAGGATGCAAATTAACTTGGCTTTAGGTGATCTGTCCACTATGGCAAATACGGAGTCGTGCAGCGATCAAGTTATACCGTTGGTCTGGACGGAAATCGTAAGTACAACAATTACTTAATTTTATCTTCATTGATTACTGTCGTTATTTAAGAAGTCATTTATATGAGGAGGACGAGTGGGGCTGAGTGACCCATCCAGTGTTATTTCAATTAATAATGGTAAATTCGAGTTGGCCAATCTTTTCTAAGATAGACTCTCTAAGTTAAAAGGTCTCTTCGATGTCTTTGTCTATATCATTGCTTTTATCTACCCTAACCTTTTCTGAATGATAGTTTTATTATCTCGTTGATCATTAATGTACGTTATCCAAGTTTGATATTATAATATGATATCTATAATAATAATATTATACTATATTTTATAGTGCATGCATATCTATATGCGTCATATTATAACGACTGGTCATGTCACGTTGTTACTATTGAGTGGCAGAAATCCATTAATTTTGTCATGATTGTCTAACAAAAATGTTTTGTACCCAAAAATTTACCAATTTCAAAAAAATTCAAAGCCATTTCGTGGACCACGTGGACTTCATGATCTCAGCGGTTGTCCAGATACCGGTTCTTAACATTATCCATCATTTCGCAGGTTATATTATTGGAACATTGGAACATGCGCAATTTAAAATAAGAATACATATTTAATCTTTTGGCGGCGACCTTGTTCTTTGAGGTACACCGCCTTGTTAAGCCATACGCCCATACTTCACTCGTCATACGATATCTCAAGTTTTTCTACGTTTCACATATTATTATTAGAAACGATTAGTCTTCTCTAAATAATTACGACTCGTGTTAGTTACAGAAACTTTAATGCCCGTTTATACCGAAAGTCGGGAAATTACAAAAATTGGTTCGGACCCGATATTGGCTTTACATTTTTAATTGGGGTTTTTCGGTGTATTTGAGTTTTACTAAATCTTGTCCTCATTGTCTGTTCACGGCAGGGGTTCGAAAAGCTGCCCACCAGCATGCTGACCAAGTTCTTCGTGTACCTAAGGGTCGGACCGGTCGTGTTCACCGGGCTCGAGTATTCACTGCTGGTCGGCGGCGTGGCGTTCATAGCGCTCACCGTGATCGCGTCGCTGTACATACCCGAAGACGACGAGCTCAAGTTCAGACAATCATCGGCGTGGCGCCGGGAAAGTCAGACGCTGACCAGGCAACAAGAGTGCGGTGCCGTCACCTCGAGGCGCACGTCGGCTACCGGCGGCAAGGAGATGAACACCTACTACAACTCCCTATTAGACGGCGGTGCCGTCACCGACAGACTGAACGCTAGCCTATGCGAACGGCTGGAAGTCGTCAACGAGACCATGTCGCCCAGCAGCTGTACGGAATCAGAAGACGAGGACGACCGGTCCATGTTGGCATGACGGAGAGAACATCATAGACAATCACCATGATCATAACGACGACAGAGCAACAGAAGAGCGGCAGTAAATAATTTTTAAAAAAGAAGTATTACTCGTTTTTTCAATTTTATATTTGACGCACTACTTTTTTCGTTATTACTTTATTATACGCGTTTCGACCTCGTCGCGCTGACATTTGAAAAAACAAAAAAATAATCATATTTTTGCCATGTCCGACCGTCAGCCGTCGACAAGCGAAATATCATTATTGTGATATGACCTAAGTACTCTTTTAAGTTTTATATAATATTATGTATATCGGACGTGTCACGTAAAGCGATAAATAACTACTTTTTATTTTTACTGGTACCTTTTACATATATATATGAATATGACTTATCGTTTATTTAAGTGCTGATGTTTTGCTGAAATCTAATTTATTTTTACACTTAAGTTATTTAAATTGTGATCTATATTTTATACGTCGCGTATTTTTATATTTTTTAATATGCATATCGGCTGTCTATACATCAGTTATCGTAAAAATCATACGTATACATTTATATATATATATTTTTATTTTTATTTTACACATACATATTTTATGTTTTTTTACCTATACACAGATACCTATACATATTTTATGTTTTTTTTACCTATACACAGATATTTGTCAATATTGTATAGCAACTAACGTTTCTGTCTGGAACTATATTATATTATATTATATTATTATATTATTATTTATTCTATTTTTACGCACCACTAAATTAATAATGGTATTCTAAGGCTGTTTTTAGACTGTACATTTCGTGCCAAAATTGAATTTTTTGTTTCGTTCGCAAGAATAAATATTAGTTATAAAAGGAGAAATATTTTTATTCTCCGCAAGTGTAAATACTATGTTAATTATTGTATAATTGACTCGATTCATTAAAGTTTAAAAATAAACCTTACATCGTACATTGTTTACGGGTTTTGTTTTACCGAAATATATCCCTACCTTTATACCTGCATTGCACGGTATGACCTTAAAATCTATAGACTATAAGTAAAGCTAAGTATAGACAAATGGAAATCGAGCAGTCAAATGATTTAAAACTAATGAGGTGATGACTTCATATACTTTTATATGTGTGATTGTTTTCTCCCACAGGATTCCTGTGTACTATTTGTACGATTATGTTCAACCTTATGCTATTGTTTGATGTTGTACAATATACTATATTCATTCTACAAATAAAAAACATTTAAACGCGGTGCACCGAAGTTTTGATGTTTTCGAAGTGCATTTAGTGGAATATTGATCAAAACCTTTTTTTCGCAGTTTTAACCGGCTTTGGTATAAATTCTGAACGTGCAACGTGTTATGCATGTACACAAACTATAATATTTGTGTGCAATTTCTTACGATTATGCACGGTTATTGTAATAGTAAACAAAAAATATCCCATACAACACACAATCATTTCAAATCTGTTAACAAACCGGTAAACGTTATGTCTATTATCGTAAACATAGCGAGTTCATCGAAGGACAGGCCGTAATATATACACATATATATATATATTATATTTTTACTGCCAAGTGTGGCTTAATAACTGACGACCTTTTGGAAGATAAAACTGAACGAAGATCACACATACTAACTATTACCGGCGACACAAGTTCAGATTTCGATTTCGATGCCTACTAAATAGTTAAATACTGTATAATTTGTGTTTTTTCAATTTTTTTTATTTCACATCATAATATTATTCTGCATAAAAATTGTTTATAACAAAATATTGTTGTGTTGCTTCTGAATGAATATCAAGAATAAATTATTTGCGATTTTATAACTGAAGATTAATGAAGAATCGATAATTAAAAAAATACAAATAAATGATACTGAGATTTTATTGTATTACTTAAGCCGCTGTATGTACACACCGGCAGCGTATGGCGGGGTAAGTTTTAGCCTCGAGACTATATCGTTGTGTCATTTGGATATGCCAAGTGGAACGTGTGCTCTCGGTGAACGAAGTATAGTAGTAGCAGCAAATAAACTATCAAGGAATTTTAAGATAATTCTATCACTACCACACTTATCAATTTTACATATGAAACGAATTACCTTGTCTCTAGTTTGCGAACTTATTACTATATTAGTTGGTCGTACTGTGCGATTGGTTTTACTGCACTAACCTTTTATTATCTTATTTTTAAAGTGTGCTTGGTTTTAAAGTTACTAAGTTTGTACTGCGCATTGCTAAATTCATGTATTTTGCTTAGCTATATTCCACTGGAAATTATTACACTATGTTGGTTAAGACAGTGATCAGTTTTGTTTACAATAATTGATTTGACAAAAAATATGCATGATACTTTAATAACTTAAAAAAAAAGTTTAAATTCAGAAACTTGGCATTTTACAATTTTTAAAAAGAATATCACACGTCGAACCAGAAAAACATTTTAACAACTGGCAAAGCTATACAGTTCAAACGTTTAACCTTGAAAATTATGAATGAAAAGACCACCGTAACAAAGTAACAATTAAGGAACATAAAGTACCCAGAAAGCTGCGAAGATAAAACAAATTGTAAGAGCTTACTATTATTAGTTAGTAGCTCTATTACTAATACTCTAGAAACGGGAAGTGATTTTTAATTTTTTAATGAATTTTACGAGTAGCTGTCTGAGTTGTTTTATGATATGACCAATTAGTATCTACCAAATTTAAAAAAAATATCTTAGAACACTGTGGTACACAATAATAATTAATAATTTATCATACACTAATGTATGTTAAGTGGTTTATCGAACATCAATGTCATACATACATAAATATTTAATACAGGCAAGTTGGGCTCCCGCGGTGATACCGGCAGTAATTTTAACCTTACTAACACATTTATATTATCACGTGTGTTACCAAATAGTTTTAAAAGAAATATAATATATATTAAACTACATCGTACTTAATAATATGTGTGTACATCGTATATACATTTCATCGTTTTAGCTAGATACATACATTTCAACAACACATAGTCAACGATGCAAATATTACTTATAAAACTAAAACTGGTTTTCTGTTTAAAATGTTTTTTTTTGGTATTTTTTTTTTTTGCGTTTCTGGACACAGTGGATTAAATACTCTGCGTTGCCATTCTACGAACAGACACTAAGATGACAAGTGCACGTATAATAATATTCAATCAAAGAAAAGCAACTGTCGTATTTTACCGTGGATTAAATATTTAATATTTTGTACTTATATTTATTGTTAAAATATATAAGTTATTAACTTATTATTAAACTGTAGAGAGGAATTTTATTTATTATTGCCTATTCTCTTTGTATTGCAAAACTATATTTTACTGATGTTATTTGAGAATAAATACAGTAAAAAAGAAATCAGAAAATTACAGTCGTCTTCGAACACTACTGACATAAAAAAAATTATATACTATAAATAAGAAAAACATGTATAAGAAAGGTAATATTTTTATTTTTATTTAAAAAATCTATTGATCCTGCTTAAAATTGATAGTAGACAATATAGATATATCTATATTGTCGTTATTATGTTGTATTATAACTAAATGATACAATTACTTCGTGTACAATTTGTGTAAAAGTTGGGAATTTTTCTAATATATTTTTCAGAAAGCTGAGAAAATTGTACATTAAATGTGTACATTTTAAATCGTGTTCTCGGTAAAAACGCTTAGAAGAAAAAAAAAAGTTTATAAATTCATAGAAACGTCGAAAATACGGGGGGGGGGGAAAGATCACAGTCATGAAAATATTTGAAATAATATCATATCCACCATTATAGGTACGAATTATATAATTTTAAACACATTAATGTCATTGCAATGCTTTTATCGATATTTATATTTTTGCCATCTATTTATGACTTTCAGTAAGAATAATTCCTGAAACCCGGTAACCTTGCCGATCTCAGAATGCTCTATCCCATATGCTCCAAACCCACTGTGCTGACTCTTTAAATTTGTATTTATACCTATTATTTGTTATTTATAAACCTTGTGGGCTCGTTGTAAGTTTAAATACAAGAGATGCTTTACTAGAGATCACTTTAATTTATACAGAGAGCGTGTCTAAACTGAATCCCCGCTCTTTTTGATACTTTTTACCAGAAGGAATTCCTTTTAAAATTCATTAGTATGAAACATTTTGCACTGGGTCTCGATTCATTCCCTATCCTATTTCGGCATAGTTTATGTGCCTCTTTAGTCAAACCGGATTCATAAGATTCCCTTTTCATACTTTTTCATACTTTATTTTCTCTACGCAAATTTCATAAATAAGTCTTGTATTATTGGACGTGCATTAACTAATACATATTTTTCAGTATGACGTTAATTGTAGTGCACGCTAAAACGCGGAAATCAATTATGTTATTATTTAATACAGTGTAATAAACACATCTGTCCACAATGTTTACACATTACAGTGATGTTCTTGAAAATATTATAATGCAAACTTGTAAAGAAAAGCTATAAAAAAAAGTTGCTTCAATTGTCAGAATCATGATTAAAATAGTGGATTTCTCAATATTTAATAATAAATAGTATACACTATATGTCATATTGGCTATTAGCTATAATTAAGCCTATGACCTCCAATAAACAGCATTATTTTCCAACTCTGCGAATATGTATACTAGATAAAGGCGTAGATAATGTTAAGTAATAAATATTTTTTATTTAAAATAAATAAATGATATGTGTGGAAAAAAGTATTATATACTTGACTTACATAGACACACGTACTTATACTATATATATATTTGTAAATTTACACAGTGCTAAATGCTATTCATCAATACATATTAAACATATATATATATTTATATTTATTGTTTTTAACGTTCAATAATGTTTGTTTTTATACAAATTGTTTTTTTTCTATCAAGTGACTTGATGTTCATGTTCATTTGTAAATACAGCACCTCAATTTAATACTTTCTAACTTTGCTAGTTTACACTGTGCTTACACTCTACTTGGTTTGGACTGTAATGGCTTGAAAATACTAACTACTGATTCTCATCGTTTATTCAAAAGTGATTTTATTACTTTCAGATTAAAAAATTCCTATAAACCTGTGTCCTCCTCGTTACCACTAGCCTCGACCCCACTGAACTGTCTTTTTTCATTTTATGCTTAGATATTAATTTTTAGGTTTTAAGTTTTTATTACCTTAAAACTAATTGTACCTATATAGTCTACCTAAATAATGTAAAAACAATATATATTTATTAATAAATTATAAAAACAAATTAAAACTTCGTTCTTATAAAACGCAAATGAAACAAACTGTACAAACTAAATTGCTGTAGAACTTTATTGTTTTTCATCCGATAATACTAATTTTTGTTACATATAATTATATATTGTTCATCATTGTTTTATTGGTATTTTTAGGTGAAAAAATGTAAAACATACAAAATATGATGCAATTGATGTTGAAAACATGAAAAAATGCATTAACACCTATGAAAAACTAATTTTTGAATTTGGATTCTTTAAAATGCATTTTGTAGCTTACCTAGCTATTTTTTAACCATTCAGTAAAAACATGCTAATAAGTAATATATGAACTTCCTGGCCCTTTTTAAAATATAAGTTACGTAAGCTCCAATGGTATGGATTTTAGAGTTTAATTACTTTAATAACAATTATTAATAAAAAAAAATTGGTTATCGATCAATCAAAATGTTCAGAATATTATTTATTAAACGTGTTCTCCATTCTTAATTTTAAAAAGTTATGACATATATACTTAACCATTTAACATTCATTAATTGATAGAGCCTGGTTTAATACTGAAAATAGTAAACGTTTAGTAATTGTATAATATTGTAAAATAAGATAAACAAATATGTTTTCAAAAAGAAAAACTACAAAGCTTCAATTTTTTTCTCGAGATATTAATTGTTTTAGGTTAA